TCAATGAAATAGAAACATGAATGTTAAGTTTTGGTATGTCCCCATTTATTAATTAAAAATCTAATTTCACTTAACTAATTAATTTAGCAAATCTCAATTAAAATTCAACTCATGAAATTAAATCAGCCCTTAATACTAATTCTACATGATGAAAAACAAATCACTGAGTAAAAATACCTGTCAAATGACCCGAGAGTAGCAAATATTATTGATAAAAATCAGTTCAATAAATACCTACCCGACACTGGAGTAATAGTATAGCAGGTAGGGGCCTTTGCCTTGCATGAAGCTGACCCTGGTTTGATCCCAGCACCACATAGTCCCCCGAACCCCACAGGGGTGACTCTGAGCACAGAGGCAGAAATAAGCCCTAAGTACACCTGGTATGTCTCAAAACCAATAATAATAATAATAATAATAATAATAATAATAATAGATACCTATTGAATGGGCCAGAGCGATAGCATAGCAGGTAGGGCGTTTGCCTTGCACATGGCCAACCCATGTTTGATTGCTTCACCCCTCTCGGAGAGCCCAGCAAGCTACTGAGAGTATCTCGCCCACACAGCAAAGCCTGGCAAGCTCCCTGTGACATATTCAATATGCCAAAAACAGTAACAACAAGTCTCACAATGGAGACGTTACTGGGCCCGCTCGAGCAAAGTGATGAACAACAGGAGGACAGTGCTACATTTCTACCTATTGAATGTGTACCATGTAAAACATGCTGAACCAGGCAGAGTAGGATTTTTAGAAATAAGTAATGAGCCTAATCACTTATATAAATCAGAACAAAGGCAAAATAGTTTTACCTGACTAACTCGATTTACTTCCTCCTCTTCTTCCTCTGCTTCTTCTCCAAATGAAAGCAAACTAAAATTTCTAATGAAAAACGGAAAATTAGAAAATGTTCACCTACAGGTGAAATGGTAAAAATAAATGAATCTGAGCCAGAGCAATAATACAGCAGGTGTGGTACTGGTCTTGCATGCACTTTTCCTGGGTTTGATCCTGGGACCCCACATGGTCCACTGAAACCCGCCAGGATTTAGGCCTGAGTGCAGAGCCAGGAGTAATCCTTAAGCACACCACCAGTATGATTAAAACAACAAATTGAATTAATATAATGAATAAAAGAAAAAAGAAAATCAAACTCATAGTTATATAAGAACCTAGGGCGTTTGCCTTGCATGTGGCTGACCAGGGTTCGATTCCCAGCATCCCATATGGTAACCGGAGCATCACCAGGAGTGATTCCTGAGTACATGAGCCAGGAGTAACCCATGAGCATTGCCGGGTGTGACCCAAAAAAAGAAAAAATAAAAAAAGCATTATAAGTTCTGATAACAAAAAAGAAAGTAAAAAGTAAAAATAAATAAATGAATTATGCAACTATATCATTTTTGTTTTGGGGCCACACCCACAGTGCTCGGGGCTTACTCTTGGCTCTGTGCTCAGGGATCATTCCTCAAAATAAATGCTCAGGGAACCGCATGTGGTGCTGGGGACTGAAGTGGATTGGCCAGTGACAAAACAAGCACTCCACCCACAGGATATCTCTCCAGGACTCAGTCATTACATGTAAGTGTACCCATTCAGTTATTATATCATACTCGACTACCTACACTCTTTAAAATTTATTAATTCAGAGATCCCAAACTTATTTGACCTAAGCTCCCTTTCCAGATATAAAATCAGAGCCAGAAAGACAGAACAGGAGGTGAGGTACTTGCCTTGCATATGGCTGGTTGCATTATCTGGTACCGAATATATTGTTCCTTGACTACTTCTAGGGTGACTTCTGATCACAAAGCTAGAAATCATCTCTGAGCACCTCTGAATAAGGACCTACTCTCCCCTCAAATTACCCAGTGCCCCCTGAATTCAACCACCTCCTAGCAGACATAAATTACCCCCTGCTGCACCTGAGGCTGTTACTTGGATCATGGAGGTCAATATTGCCATCTTTGGAACGAATCACATTAATTGAAAAACAAGTAAAAAATAAAGTCTTTAACATCTCAATCCTATTATAACTGCAATAGTGATCACAAAACACTTTCTATTTTAAATACTGATTTCATAGTAAATCTAAGACAGTAACTTTTTAGGTTATGTACTTATAAATATTAAAAATGTACATTTAGAAAGAATACACCTTCATAATTCAGTTATTCCCCTACTTCAAAATGGCCTCCTCATTAATTAAAAAAAAATACAAAAGGAAATCAAGTGAGGGACCAAAGCAATATTATAGTGGGAAGTACATTTGCCTTGCACTCGGCCAAATCAGATTCGATCTCCAGTATTCCAGAGTAATTTCTGAGTTCAAAGCAGGAGTAACCCCTGAGCATTGCAAAAAAATAAACAAAAAGGAAATCAAGTGGACTAAATAAATCAGTGTTGCTTTTTATAGTGAAGAAAATGTACTTGATTACTTTGTTCCTTTGGGCTTCAATTTCTTTACTTCCTCCTCTGGTTTCTCTTTTTTAGTCTTTTTTATTTCTCTTGGAATGATGTCATCAAAAGGGTTAAACAAAACCTATGAAAAGACAAGACATATTTTTTAAATATTTTATATTCTGATCTTAGAAAAAGGTAGTATTTAACTGAAATGACATTAGTCTCTATATTTTTTTCACATAACCATTGTACCATGTAAAATCTTATCACACCGAAGGTTGTGTGTTCACGGGCTCACTGGATGGCACTGTCTCACCGCCTGCGTTCGGTGCTCTTGGGCCGCTGGGTGTGGCCTGGATCGGAACGGTTGTTGGCCAAGGGCAGACGGAAGAAGAAACGAAGGCCAGGCCGGTCTATATAAATAGTAGTTTATTCCAATCCTCTTCACTACTGTCTTTCTCTGCCTCCTTCTCTCCTGGGCCCCAATCTTGGAACCTCTCTCCTTCTGGCTCTGACTCTGGATCTCTGGAGCCCGAGCTTCTGACTCCTTCCTCTCTCCAAGCTTACCGCTTCTGACTCTCCTCTCCGAGCTTACGTCTTAGTTTATATAGCAGTCACATAAGGCGGTGACATAAAGGTGGGTTGAACACTGACGAATCAACAAAAGAGGTAAGACCACTCCTCCAGGAGATTAACTCAAGGATAAAATCTCATCTACAGAGATTACTTCAGATTACTAGGAGATCCGCTCAAGGGTGGGATCCCAACAAGCGTGTGTTCTTCCCTCAGTTAGTAATCTACTTAAATAGTTGTAATAAATCTACTTCTAATATTTCTAGCAATGTCATTCTGTATGAGCACAGTAAGAGATATAAACATAGTTTAGTTCTTCCTGAGAACATCTCACTATACATTCCACAGTCCTCAGGCCAGGTTAATCTTCCTAGCTCCAGCAGGGTCCTAGTCTCGGTCGTTACTTACTTTTGGATCATGACAGCATTTGTCCATGATCATGCCCTCAACTTATAGTTGAGTATCGTGGCGCTTTGGCCTGGCCCATTTTGATGCCAGGGTAGCTCACAGCTTGCCCTGGGTCCATTCAGTTCCTCGTCGGGACCCTGCTTTTGGGGTGCTAGGAACTAAGGGCAACTGAGTCAAGAAATCAGATGCCCAGGAGTAAATATTATTCGGAGTCAATCAACTCCCAAGTCACAAAGCATAATATTAACTGTCTTCCTGTGTCCACACAGAAAGGACATTGCTTACAATACAAGTTCAATGTCCTTAGATGGGTGTGACCTGACAAACCTAAGCTACCTGAGGAAGGACAAAAGAGTGTTATCCTACAGTACCATTCCCATTATATATGCTAATATAAAATACTTCTGCAAGGCTTCTGAATTCTCCCAATAATCTATGTGTATACCCTATGAAATACTTTATCCCTACTTTATGAAAGGGAAAAATAGTCAAGAAGACTTAAATGATAAATAAGAAAATAATACTAAAATGATAATAATAAAATATGATAAAAAAAAAAAAAAGAAAGCAATATTCCGGCTTTGTAAGTCCAAATCAACTGTTCTTAAGAATCTTACTTCCTGGGGCTGGAGCAATAACACAGCGGGTAGGGCGTTTGCCTTGCATGCGGCCTACCTGGGTTCGATTCCCAGCACCCGATGTGGTCCCCCAAGCACCGCCAGGAGTGATTCCTGAGTGCAGAGCCAGGAGTACTCCTGAGCATCAGCTAAGTGTGACCCCCCCCCCCAAAAAAAAGAATCTTACTTCCTGAATCAAGTCATCACAGAAGTCACTTCATTGGACTAAATAACCCTAATTTTCTAACTTTCCCTTTAATTGGAGTATTTTATTCATTTTATTCATAGTATTATCATTAAAGTTTTATCTTTTAATTAAAAATATTTATTTAAAAAATTTCTTAAAAATAAATTGTTCCTAAATAAATTAGAGAAAAAAAACCTGAGTTGTGATGTTAACTTAGCATAAAGATCTCATCTGATAATTTAAAAATATTAATCATCAGGAGCCAGAGCAATAGTCCAGTAGGCAGGATGCTTGTCTTACAGCCAACCCGGATTTGATCCCCAGAACCACATAAAGTCTCCCAGCTCCTGCCAGGAGTGATCCAGAAGCACAGAGCCAGAAGCTCATAGCACAGTCAGGTGTGGCCCCAAATCCAAAATAAACAAAAAATACTAATGCTCAATTTCTCTTAAATAGCAATTTAGGAGTTGCATCTCATAATTAACATGTTCCTACCTCACAACTTTTTATTTTGTGTGGGTTCCTTGGTCTCTCATCATCATCAATGTCAACTTCTGTCAATCGCAGCATGTTATATATTGTATCCCCTGTAACCTATTAAATTTAAAGAAAAATCAGTTGTAAATCATTACAAAAATTCTTTAAAGTAATGATTTTTAAAATGACTTTAAAGTAATAATTTTAAATGCCTTTTTGAATGTGGCGTTTGAAGATATTTTCTAATAATTAAGAGAATTTCATATTTAAAAGGAAAGTATTTACAGTATACGGTGTGAAAAAGAAACTTCATTTCCCCTACCCCTGCCCCTGCCCAGGGGAATGCGTGAAGGTACTTCCCCCACAACTACAAATTATGCAGTTGATCTTCCGACATTAGGGGAAATCGCAGGGGTCAAAACATCGGCAGTCCAATGAATAAGCCTCGCCCTGGGAAAACCACCCTCGTGATCTTCCCTGCCAGCTAAGTATTAATAACTTCATCTTAAGGGGAAAAAGAACAATAAAACTCAATTCATCGATAATCTTTTTGGAAATGTTGAAAATATAACAGAAATTTTTATTAAAATTTAAGTACAGTACTAATTAACCTCTTACTGAATGACAAATTTTTATTCAAACATTTTAAACAAATTTAGACTTTAGGATAGGGTAGATAGAATAGGCAAGAAACAGTAACAATGTGATAAAAATGCTTTCCACACATTATCTCATCCAACCTTCTAAAACCTAAAAGCAGATACTATCATTATCCTCTTTATCCAAATAAAAAAACTGAGGTTCAAAGAAATTACACAACCAATAATACTCTTCTTTATGATGGCTAATCATCATGCTACATTTGGTTTCCAATACATGTCATATAATTGATATAAGTATCAATAACACTTGCAAACTAAATCTCATTGTATTATATATTTTTAAAATAAGATAAAAATCTATAAATTCTTTTCACTTAACATTAAAGAGTTTAAAAATAATACTAATTTTTCAGTTGCGCTAAATTTGGATTTTTCCCTTTCATTATCATAAAATCCAGTTTTGCTTAGAAAACAGGAAATGACTCTTACTGAACCAGCAGAGGGAGCTGATCTACTCATTATGTCCTGATAAATCTAAGACTTAAAAACACGTGGGAATGTATTTCTAAGAGAAGAATAGGGAATGGGAGAAAGAGAAAAGGTACAATGGGTAGGGCCTTGTATACACCTGACCTAGGTTCAATCACCAATGCCCCTTACGGTACCTAAAGCCCCACCAGGAGTGATTCCTGAGAACAGAGTCTGCTGAGTGTAGGTGACCTCTCCCCCCAAAATAGGAGAGGAATGAGAAAAGAAAATCTCACATTTCCTTCTCAAAATGTGAACAACATTTTTTAATTGACATTAACATGAGCAGTATTAAATTAGTATTATTCAAAGTAACATTTCAGATAAGTTTTATGTTAATATAACTTGTACCTAAACCTATAGGAATTTATCACTAATAAAATATTTAACTACTAAATATTAATACTTAGGTATCGAGGTAAAAACATAAAATTAGTATCTGAGAGATATAGAAATTAATGTCACCAGTATGATTTTAGAAAAAAATGAAAACTTCTGAAGCCATACCAACAGCTTCTTTGAAATACACAGAAGATAATTTGGATGGTGCCCACAGTACACTCTAACAAAAATATATTCTGTCAATTCAGTAATGACACATAAATGTCCTAGGGAAATATTTTTTAAAGATAGCTTTAGATAAGTGGATTATATTGCCATATTAAGCTATAATAACTAGATACAAACCTTCCCAAAGATTGTATGCTTGTTATTAAGTTCATCTGCTCGGCCCAGTGTAAAGAAAAACTGGCTGCCATTATCATGAGGACCAGCATTTGCCATGGCAACCAGTCCTCTCCGATTAAAACGTAATCGAGAGTGAAATTCATCCTGAAACACAAAAAGATTCAGTGAATAACCTCAGGCCATTCATTCATTGTCAGCTAACTAGAAAAGTGTCATACAACTCCCAGTTTAAAAAAAAAAAGCCTTTTTTTCAAATTTAAATCACATTATTTTCTATTCCTATTCCTATTAAACTTGGTTTCACCAATCTATTAGTACCGTTAAAACATACTCAACGTCAAACTTACTCTAATTTGTGGAAAGCTCCCCTGCTTGCACATGGAGAAAAGGTACTATAAGGGAAATTAAAGTTTTTAAGTGTGACCTCCCTTATTCTTCCTATACCTCAAAATCATCTTTTAGAATCTATTATTAGTCCAAGAAAATAACAATTGAATCATTGCAGTCTTCAACTTCTATCCCTTCCTTCTATTCTAAAGATTATGAAACAAATGCTTTTCTCTCATTTTTTAGTGCAATAAATCTCTACTGTGGATTATGTGCCTTTGCATTGTTCTGTAAAATTTGTATCTTTCAAAAGCAAGCCATTTTAAGGTAATTTTTTTGCTCTGAAAGGGCTACATCATAAACACATTAGTCTCATAGTTAACAAAATTTGAATCCAGACATGATAATGGATTCATTTATATTACAGATATCTTATGTAATCAGCCCTTTTCAGAAAGTTCTATTTTCATTAATAAAAACTTCTTGATATTTTAAATCAGAGAATCATAACTCTCTCCTCTAATAAAAAAATTATCTAATTGAAAAACTTAATAGGAGAAGTGTATTATCTGAATATAAAGCCAAAATCTCAAGTTTAAAAAAAATTGTCAAAAGAAGCTATTCTTTGATATAAAATAATAGAATAAAAGAATACTTCCAAGTAGATGGAGGTATCAAAAAATCAAGAAAGACCTCAATTTGGTAAACTATAAAATAGTGCAACAGTGACATTTGAAGCCTTTTTATAACCATTCCACATTTTTTTTTGTTTTTTTTTTTTTTTTTGATTCCTCCGCCCCTCTCGGAGAGCCCGGCAAGCTACCGAGAGTATTCGATATGCCAGACACAGTAACAACAAAGTCTCCAATGGAGACGTTACTGGGCCCGCTCGAGCAAATCGATGATCAACGGGAGGGCCTTTCCACATTTTCTAAGAACTGTATCATGTAGCAATTTAAGCAAATAGTTGAAAGATTTTTCTCAAGAATCACACAGCAACCCCAGTAAAAAATTAAAGGAAACTTTAGGACAGTATCGCATTAGTACAAGCAAAATCTTAAAAAAAAAAAAAAAACTAATAGTTGATGTTTACTCAAAAAATATGGGATTGGCATCATCAGATTACCTATCCACTGATGTTATTCTAATTTCATAATTAATACTTTTTTGTTTTTATGTGTATGCTAGCAGTGCAAAAACCACTGATTCATATACACTCATTTTTCTATTTTTTTTAATGGAGCTTCTTTCTGTTCCCCTTTTGATTTGTTGCTAGTGCAAGCATGCTTTTACTCTACAAGATTACTATATACAATTTCAAAATAATTCTGCTATGGACTGGACTGTGTACGCTTAAAATTTATATTAAAGCTCTAACCCTAAGGGAACTGTGAAGAGATATTGGTTAGACAGAGACTCTAGAAAGTACTAATCAGGCAGAACTAGTACTTTTATTACAAGGGAAAACAAAAATAAACAACAAAAAACACCAGAATGTCCTCTCTTTACCCTGTACCAGTCATCAGTCAGAAAAAAAGTCTCCACCAGGAACTGAAATGACAGCACCTTGATCTTCGGCTACCTAGTCTCCAGAGATGTGAAAAACAAACTCCAGTTGTTAATGTTAATACCCAACTGGTATTAATTTCAAATAGCAGTTCAAGCAGATTAATACGAATCCCATATAATGACAGGGACTGGAGTCATAGTACAGTCCATAGAGCACTTGCCCTGCACACAGCTGACCGGGATTTGATCCCCAGCACCCCATACGGAAGCCAAAGGCCACCATGGCGATCCCAGATCACAGAGCCATGAGTAAGCCCTGAGTACCACAAAGGGTGGACCAAGGATAAACACCAAAAATAAACCAAATCCCATATAATGTCAAATAAATTTTTTGAAGTAAGGTGGCAAATGCAATATTCTACAAATGTCTCACATTTATACAGTTGCAGAGATCAGACATAACCACACCCATGAAGTATATTATGTTATCTTTAGATTTTTTTAGCTTATATTTTCCTCACTACCCCCATTTGATCTCGAATTCAATCAAGCCTAGTTTGTGATTAGAAAAACCTAGAATGAATGCTTAACAGAGTAAGAGCTGCTCTTCTACCTGTTTTATCTAAAATATAAATATAATGGAGCGATAGCACAGCGGTAGGCCATTAGCCTTGTGCTCTGCCCGCTGGCTGAGTTGGGTTCCATTCCTCCGCCCCTCTCGGAGAGCCCGGCAAGCTACCGAGAGTATCTCGCCCACACAGCAAAGCCTAGCAAGCTACCTGTGACGCATTCAATATGCCAAACACAGTAACAACAAATCTCAAAATGGAGATGTTACTGGGCCCGCTCAAGCAAACTGATGAACAATGGGAGGACAGTGCTTTATATTAATCATATGAAATAGTATTATAGAAATTTATAGCATGTTGGCATAAATTTATTAACATAAAGTAAGTAATTCCTATTATTTGTGTAATAGAAATTATTAATATAAATCAGTGATATGTTATATAAATATAAATATATTTAGATATCTTAAGCATAAGTATAATTTCAGATAAAACATATAGACAACTACTTTTATACACTAATATGAAATGCATTTTGTATTTGTGTGACACAATCATTTTTGATTAAGGAATACAAGATGACTTATAAAAGAGTAATAACAAAAACTCTGTCTCACCTTGAATGGGGCTCCATAGATAGACTCTCCACCAGCCCCTGTACCAGTAGGATCCCCACCTTGGACTATAAAACCAGGTACCACTCTATGGAAAATGGTGTTGTCGTAATAGGCTAAAAAATTTAAAATAATTTAAATTTATTTTTATCTATGTAGAGTTAACACAAGAACCACACAAATGTTTTTCCAAGAAAGTTAAACATTTTCCAACAACTTCTGCAGCAACCATGATTATTATTGTTACTATCATTTATTTTCAGTATTTTTCCAAACTCAGTGCTTTATTTATTATTTAAATCATTTTAAGTCTTCCATTACTTACAAGTGAACACAATCTACCTCAATCAATGACTAATATTTATCAAGTGCCTGTTGGGAACCAAGCATATGGATGCACAAGTCATACAGTAATGATTACAATGTAGAAACTGATAAATATTTTTATATCTATAAAGTATAATGACATAAAAGTCTTGTTTAAAAAATACAAACTGCAATCTAACAACTGTATTCAGTACATTTAAGGGATTGCAAGAAAAGGATGACAGGACTGGAGCGACAGCACAGCGGGTAGGGCATTTGCCTTGCATGCAGCCAACATTGCCGACACAGGTTCGATTCCCAGCATCCCATATGGTCCCCCAAGCACCGCC